AAACCAACCTCATTGGCCACTGTCAGGAAATTTGTCAACACAAAGAAAGAAATGAATCAAAAATTATCCCATACGAATTTCCCAGTAGCCGGGGTAAATATATAACCTCTTTCCAATTTTAAGAACTGCTGCCCAGTTCTCTCACATAAAAGGCCAGTGATTGCATGTGCAATAAATAATAATGGTTCATAAATTAAATACCATTATTCTTCTTGACATAACTCCATTTTGCAAAGCCCCGTGGAATAGGTACAGGCAGTTTGTTGAGCAAGCTCTGATAAAAGAAAAATATGCCTTTGCTTTAACTTTTGAAAGTGTCTGTCGGAATTTATAGGGTATAGCCCCAGAAGGCAATTAAGGCAACATTTTACAGAAAGCTACTACATGCCCCAAATAACAAAGAACAATAAAAGGGAAGTGTGATTTGTGAAAACAATTTGATTTATAGAATTACATGTATAAAATGCAGATACTTTCAGCCTAAACAATTTGTATAGGAGGAGCTTATGTGACACAAATTACCCAGAACCTTCCCAAGTAAGCTGCATTGTCCATATTATAGCAGTACATCACAACCAAGGCTTCATTTTTTGGGTGATTAAAGCCAAACAAGCTGTTCCCTCAAATGTCACTTCCTAGAAAACACCAGCACAGACACAAGCCAGCCCAGGCTGACACACTGGGTGCCACCTGGCACTCTGGCATTACTACTGGGCGGAATTTCAATGCTGGCCTAGGAGACACCCAGTGGAGCTTCCCTGCTGGGATTACAGGGAACTTTGCCCACCCCAGGCAAGAAACATACAAAAAGGTGAAGTAGGAGGTTGAGAAAGATTGGTACCAGCTTCATCATCTCACTGGGCAGGCCTGGAAGGTTCTTAAAAATGTAGAATCACTGTGGATAGAGGGGAATAAAATGTCAGTGAAGGCATGCAAAAAAGAGTGATGAAATGCTTAAATTAACAAGCTAAGAAATCATTATCAGTAGCAGCATTCTAAACAAACAAGAGGGGAGCGCGAGTGTCCCCCTAAGTAATTCCAAACAAGATGAAACCTGAGAAGAACTGTAGTCGTGCAGACACAGAAATGCTTTCACACAGAATGTAGCAGCTAAGTATGGCTGTCCTTGAATTAGGAAGTGAGAATGAGGGACACAGTGAAAGAACAGTCACATTTGTAGGCTGGGCCATGGCAAAGACACGGAGTGGTCTTGTCTTCAGTGCCTGGGAAAAAAAAAAAAAAAAAAAAAAGGGAAAGAAAGTGACCACTAGCAAGGAAATAGCAAAGGACTGAATTATTCTTACTGAATTTCCACAGAGTTGTCCAAAATGCTACAATCTTAGCTTGCATCTACTAAGCGTGCAGAATACCCTCAGTCTGAGTTCATATATGAGATTTCCAGAGATGGCACATAACAGGAAAAAATTGTAGATGTAGTTAGACCTCCAGCAAAGGTGTGTCACTGATGAAGGTACTTACATTAAGAAATAAGGATGAACTGGAATCTACATTAAGAAAGCAGTTCATTAAGCTTTAAGGTGAAAGATGACAAGATGGAGTTAGGGAAATTGACTGAAGGCTGGCTGGTTTATTTTAAGGTAGAGGAGATGACAATGAGATCATACTTTCTGTGATGAAATCTGCAAAATTATACTTGTTAAGAAAATGGCTAGGGAAGGAATTGCTAAAAGAGGAACCTGAGGGACTGGAGAGCATATAAAACGTACTAAAGTGGGTTTTTTAGTCACTCAAAAAATAAACTTAAGAGTTCCTAAAGTAAAGAAGATGGACATTTCTGATGGTGCAGGTAGGCTGAAACTTAGAAACTCAAGGAAAATGTTCTTTTCTGCAACTGTCTGTTGCCAGGAAGGACCAAAGGAGGTCCCTGAGGAAGGAACAAGTCAACAGCAGAGAAATTTGATGCAGACAGTATAAGCTGTCCATTCCTTATTTGAGATGGGACCTGAACTGGTCAATAAGACTGTGGTTTCAATTAATATATTGTAATACAGACAGGGAGATGCTGCTCTTTTCTCTGTCTATAGTGTATGCCTGATAGAGAATGGCATGTGTTTTTTCTTGCACAAATATTGATTCACTACAAACAAGCTAAGCTGGGCATCAGCACACTTGGGAATGTGTAAGGGAAAACATTTTCTCACCTTGGGAAAACTGGTGGTGTATTAGGTGCAGGAAACAGACAGAGATAGGGAACAGATGCAGGTATAGAGATGAAGGACACCTCATATCCAAACTGAACTCACAACCACATACTCAACACTACCAGATACTTATGGAGAAAATGCCTTTTTCCAAGTATCTGATAGATTTTGGGTTGTTCTGGGCACTGGAGTTCAAATCCTCATCCCTTCCTGGAGGTTAATGAGAGGGTCTTGGCTAAGAAGGTATCTGTGGAGATGCTCAGGAGCAGAAAGGTTCTGTGCAGATAGTAACGAAAAACTAAAGGATATTCACACTTTCTGTTTTTACAAACATACTTTCTTCTGCTCACCCAACTCCTTTGTAGCATTTCAGAAATATAAAAGACAGTGTCAGATCTGATAAAGGAATGTATTAAGTAGCCCTTAATGTTAGTTATTTCAACTTCTAGCTTCACGTTCTCGACAGTGTCAGAGCTCTCTTGGGGACTCTGGTTCTGCAGTTTTACTGTGACCCCCAAAGTGGGGCTCCAGTATTGCTACTTTGGCATTTATTCCTCTATAAATAGAGTATTTCCTTTAGAATTCTCTACCTGGATCAAAACAGTCATGTATTCAGCATCCAAAGAATCCCTGTCATTTTTTTTAAATCAGCAGAAAATACAGTCTCTAAGTGGAAAGTAAAGAACATAGAAGTGCAGAACACCTGCTTGCTACAGCCTCAACAACAATCTGTCTCTGAATTGCTGAAATGTGACAATATTCAGTAATTTATAGAGCAACAAAGACAAAACAGTAGGAGGTTACACTTTCATGACCAATAAGCCAATAAAACAAAAGTAGGGGAGAGCATGATTTGAAGTAATCAGACCAAGCAACACAGATATTTCTGCTTCCTGCAGTAAATAAAACATGCTGTGTCAGCTGGAAAAAAAAAAAACACTCCAGCAATGCTGCCCATCTTGAAAGAAAGGCAGTGGTCAGGGAAGATTGTCTGCCACAGTTCCAGCATGTTTGATGTGGAGTTTGTTCCTCAAAAGGAGCCAGTATGGAGACAGGAGCTGCTCCCCACAACAGCCTTGTAGGCAGGCAGGGCAGAGCTTGAGGCTGGACTAGAGAAAAACAAAACACCAACCACTTATTGTAAAACTTGTCCTGGGGTGACTTTCTGATGCTGAATTGTATCTCCATTCATCTGTTTGGCCCAGAAATAAGTTTTGTACCTTTAAGATAGGTTCTGAGAGCAAAGGTGAGAGGAGACAAGAAGCACACATTTTATTTTCAGAAACTGCACTTGCTCCCCTGCATCCTTCTCCTGGACAGTGCTGTCTGCAGCATGGACAGACAGCAGGACAGAGCTTTCCTTTGCTATTAATTAGCTTTTCGCTAGCTGAGGCAGAGAAGTTCCGTGGACTGTGGGTTTTCTTTTTCTTGGAACTGTTTGAACCTGCTCTGGACTGAACACCCAGGAGAGCACTGGCAGCTCCACCTGTGGCCCACCAGGCTGGGCCTGGGCTGCGGCATTTCCAGCACCGGAGGTACTGATAAGAGACTGAAAAGGGACTGAGTGCGCCAAGCTACAGCCCACGGAGGGACTTTCTGAGTGTGTCATCTCTTGGGAGTGGCAAGAGGTTTTATTGTTTAATATTGTTCATTTTTTGTGCTGATGAATGCCTTACCTGGTAAATAAACAGGTTTTCCCACTTTCCTCCAAGGAAATCTTTTCTCAAACCAGTTGGGGGAGGGGCCACTTGAATCTGCTTTCTAGAGAATCCCCTTTGGAGGGTTCCTCCCAAATTTGCCTTAAACCAGGACAAATTCTTTTGCATTTGAGAAACAAAACTCCAACCACTTATTTGTAAAAACCACAAGAGTTACTTCCTTGTATCACAGCACCATATTGCCAAGCACTGAAAGAGCAAATAATTAAGTTTTCCTAATGTATCCATGTTGCCTCCGTAATTTCACTGTCTTTTCCTCTACATATGCCCTACAAAGGAAAGGAATTTTTTTTCTGTACACTAAGCACTGTTGTTTTTACAAGTAGAAATGTTTCCATCCCACAACCCGGGAAGAAGGGTGTTTGACCAATACAAAAAACCTGGACAAACCACACAGGAAAGATTTCAACAGCAGCCCATGAAATTTTAGCTCAAAGAAAGAACAGATTGATATAACAAACTCCTTGGTGTTTCTTCTAGGCAACTTAAGAGAGCTTGAGCCACGTGGCTGGCTCTTCCACACCAGCCATAAAGATACTTATTTCTCACAGCCAAGGAATAATAAATTACCAGAGAAAAACAAGCTGGTGTCATAAACAGGAACACACTCCCAGTACAAAAGTGGTATCAGCTTTTATTATAAGGCCTAAAGCATAGGGGGCCCACGGGTAGAGCAGGAATGCTCCCGGTCAACAGCGAGCAAGGATGCTGCAGAGCTGGTGCTGGATCTTCTTCCTTGCTTGAGCAGGGTTGTTCCTGATGTTCCAGGTTGAGCGGCATGGATGCCCCCTTTTTATACTGTTTTTTATTACTTTGGATTGGTTTCTGTTGGGATCCTTCATTTGCATGAAGGTTAAGATGCTGATTGGCTCTTACAGTTTTGTCCAGGCTGACTCACTTTTGCTTGGGGGGATGCACTTTACTTTTGTGTAATACAATAAGGTGAGTACTGTCTTTCTTATAACTACCCTTTTAACCCCTTTTACAATATAATAACCAAACCTTTTCACAGTACATTATTAACTATTTTACAGCAGTTTCTAACCTATTTTTGACAGCTGGCATCTTAAACTCCCCAGCCTTTCCTACAGCCACGACCTTACCACTCTGCATAAGAAATGTATTGACCAAACTATCAAAGGGTTCACCAGACTAATCTTTATCTAGCCACTGATTTGCAGGCAGTGGGAAACAAACAAGAAAACAAATAATGAAATCATAAATTTCCTGAAGCTAAAGTAGGTATTGTTTGCATAGTAATTACCATGGTTCAATTACAGTATGAATAGTCTTCAAAGAAAAGTTGGTCTCCTTCCTCTGCAGGCAAAAATGAGTAAGAAGCTATGATTACTTTCCCTACTTATTTCCATGAGAGTTGAAGTATTTCCTGTAGGGGATGAAAAAGATAATACTTATCATGAAAACAAGACATTTATTTTCAAGAGATATAGAAAATTCTACACACTACGCCTCTAAAACCTTCTGTTTATTGCCCCTTATGTTCAGTAATTTTTATCCAAAAGCAGTGCTTCTTCTTATCAACTGCTCTCTAGTTACATTTTGTATGTCAGCATGTTAATATAAACCTGCAGTCATTCTGCTGATGTCCATGTTCTAAAAAGTGGTATTGATTAGTTTTCCATACTATCTTAGAGTAGTTTCATAGATGACACTGAGAGTCCCCATTTACACAGTGAGAATAAATCCCTAAGACCATAACACTATGCATTTTGAAACCTGCAGATGACTTTCCTCAAGAAATTGCACAAATAAATTACTTGAAAGCAATAACAGTGTAGGAAAATTATACAGCTCCAGACAATGCACAATCAGCCAACGCACATGGTATATATTCCTTTGCCTTTATCACACCTGACAAGCCTATGGTTAGAGACTGACAAAAGAGACTGCCTCTTCATCAGGAACAGGACAGAATTTATAGAAATACCTCTTAAAAGAAAGCATTCCAGATGGAGTGCCAAATCTCCATGTCAGCTCCAGACGGGTAATAATTTGTGCTCTATATTCCTATAAAGCAACCTCTTCTTCCCAGAATATTCAAAGAATCTTTTGAAGAATCTTTTGAAGCTGAGTGTAAATGCTTCAGCAAGAGTACTTCTACTAAAACTACACAGTGCAAGTATGAGGAGAACAAGCACAGATGGTTCAGGATATAACAGAATATACAGAAGTTTCCTCTTGCCTCTAAATCACCATGTTAAAAATGGTTTAGGTGGCTGCCTAGCAAAATTTGCTCCTGAAATCATCCAGTTTCTAATTCAGAGCAAGATTCTGAATACAAGCACATTGACACGGATTGAGAAAATATTAACTACGTCAGTGAAAGTAGTGTGAGGTTTTTATTGAAACCTGGGTACAAGAAATCACTGTCAGTGTCACAAGCCCATGATTTCTACTATTGCTGCCAGCTGTGGAACTAAAAATTCAGCAGCTAACCAGAGAGGCCAAGGACTACACTGCACTTTCACAGTCACTGCAGCAATACCTCCCTGGTGTTATCTATACACCACAGAGGATGCACACTGGAGTGTGCATTATAGTACAACCTTTGCTGGTAACATCTTTCCCAACAGATGATGCAAAAGTGCATCTCTGCTGCTTACAATGTTTTGTTCTTGCATCTTTCAGAGCATATAGGAAGGTCTACCCTGCCTTCATATGCCCATGCCGCCATGTGTGGAGACCTTCTGAATCTGGGTCTTTCCACAATTGCAAAAAGGAAAAAGAGCTTTCACCTGGCAACACTACATGTGGGAGCACAAATGGGATTTGCCTTTTTGCAATATCAGCATCACTGGCAAGGAGGAAAGGACACTCAGATTCACCAGCTTTGCACCATACCATGATGGCTTTCTGTGAAAAGTCTTTTCCTGTGCTGCTCTGATGATGAGCAGCAAGCTGTGCTTCATCCAATTTGAACAGAAGATGTCAAGAGAAGAATAAATATTCATTTTTTGGGTCAAATACTGAGAAGTCACATACTAGGAGCAGTACAGGGGAATACAGTAGCCTGCCAATTAAGGAAATTACATACTAGATGAACCAAAGGATCATTTAAAAAGACTCAAACCCAAACTATTTGCAGACATACTGAAGAGAAGATTGGATGGCATTTGCAGGCAGCAGTTACCCTGGGAGCAGAGGGAAGCAAGAACCCTGCACAGCCTCCCCCACACCCACCACTATGGTCCTTCTGACCAGCTGCCCCAAAGACTGTATCATTATTGCTACTGACACTGATGGACAGCAAAGCAGGAAGTATTTGCCTCAGAACCTGAGCTCAGAGTGATGCATGAAAAACATCCACAGAAAATCACCTTATACAGCTGGAATTGGAATCAATAACTTATGAACACTACAGAGAAGAAGGGGAAAAATCCCAGCTCTCTGTGATCTAGTGGTTCTGCTTATTAAGGAGGGCTATTCTGTAGCAGTCAATATTTTTGCAAACTAGATGTTATTAATGCGCAAGTACAATATGGATTGACAGTGGCTGAGGAGAAAGGGAGATAACAGAACAAAACCTACGCCTGGACAGTCCTGGGATTTGAAGATGTTCCGAAGCCCCTGGTGACACAATTTCTTTGTCTTTGGTAGCCCTGAAAAAGGACACCATGAACTGTGCTCCCAAGGGGAAGGGTTGATAACATCACTGGTAAGTGAGGAGAGACTAGAAAACTGTTAAGTCCTACCTCACATGTTGGCAGTTGTTATTTTAGCTTCCCAATGTGTCATTCCATTTCCATAAGCAAGAATCACATGAGGTCTGTTTTGAAAAGAAGTTTTCTGGCATGCTTCAAAAGCACAAAATTCAGAAATAATTGTTTTTAAAGGACTTAATAGTGTCTGAAACCTGTTCAATTTACAGTCTAAAGGGAAAAATACAAATAACTTACCAACCCTTAAATCGCATGTCATTTGATGCACCAGTACCAAGTTAAAAATTAATAATCCCATGCCTAAAGGAACCAACTCTCTTTTACTTTATGTTGACGATGATTTATGTGAGTTGTATGTATTCATCCAGATGAGAAGAGTACAACAGACACTTGCATGGGAAAAAAAACCCCTATTTTTGTAGTTGTCTCGAGTTCTCATATTGTCACACAGACAAATTGGTTCTGTATTCCTGAGCCATGCTGCATTATTCCAGGGGAGGAAGGTACATCTCTGCTTCACTAAACTGTGGAGGAGCAGACTTAGTGTGATGGAAAAAGAAAAAATGAGAATTTATTCATCTGGGTTTGTGGGTGGGCTCCAGGTGATTCGGTTACTTATTTGCACTTGTATATTGCTGGAGTATGCAAAAAAAAAAAAAAATTTAAATAAGAGTACTGCACCCACCACAGTTTAAAGCCCATGAAACCACCCTGCACCCACAAAGGGCCGAAATACAGGTAAGGAGCTACCACTTCCTTCTTAGTGGTGATGGAAAAATGAGGCACAGGGCTATTGCAACCCCCATGCACCTATTTATGTGTCACTGTCATTGAAATTCTTTGCACATTTGCACCTAAATTGCTTTACAAGGTCACAGTGGGCACCATGGGTTGCTGCTGTCTGTTCTTAGACATTACATCTTTTCACCTCCATGAGCTTATAGAGAAGGAAATGGATTTTAAGGGAAATATGAGACCTTCTGACACCTGCATTCATGCAAGGGGCCTCTTCTCCCTTCAGCTGAACCAGTTAGAAGGAATATATATCTGCCTAGAGATATCAAGCTCTGCTAAGCTGTGATATTTTTTTTGTGTATTTGAAACTTGTAACAATTGGACTCAATTTAATACAAGTATTTCTAAGCACAGATATGTGGCATTTCTTTCAAAGTAATTTTCTTCTATTATTATTTGAATATATTCTTACGTACATGACTAAGTCTCTGTGTCAGCACAAGACTAAACCTTACCAGGAAAGGACTGTACTAGAATTAGGTCTTTCATATCAAAGGCATCTTTGACAGACTCAAATAAATGAGGAATGATAGTTTAACACAAAACTAAGCACACTTGTCATCTGCTGTTTTTCAAATAAGCCATCTAGTACACTCTCTCTTGGAAAAGCAGAAATAGAGTGTCAGAGAAACCAAGTGTATCCCAAGGAGCTGGGCTTGAACACAAAAGAAAAGAGGAAAAAAAACTAATGCAGTAATGTGATTCTCCCTATATTTGGCAAAATTTCTGCAGACTACATAGAACACAGCTCAAACCACTGAAAATTATGAACATAAAAAGTGAGAGCACTCAATGTATGGAGTACTCAGTTAAAAATAAAATTTTGTAATTGCTCTGCCATGGCTGCTCCCAGCATGTATCAGCTCCAGTCTCACAATAGGGTTCTTGCTTCCCACTGACCCATATGTGGCTACTCAGATGAATTTATCTATTTATATATCCTAAGTTCATACCAATTTGGAATAAAAAGCAAACAAAAAAGTGAACACAGAAACCCCTCTATTATCTGCAGGATCACGGAATCAGATCCGAGCTCAAGGGTGTCCCACAGCAGCACATCCCTGTCCCCAAGTTCCCCCAGAGCCACTCTCAGTAAGAGTACTGCATTAAATGCCATGGCTTCTGAGAGGGATGCTAATGGTGGAGCAGAGTAGAAAGTCTCCTATTGTAGTGTGCTTTCTTTTTAATAGTTTGCTCCTGTTTTCCTCCTATGTTGCTGGTTTAGAGTAAGTTATACTCTCCTACCCAGTTGCCTGTCATACCCAAAGACCTGCCTCTTGTGGTAAAGCGTTCTCTACCCTTCCCCTGCCAAACTGTCAATCTTCCCTTGAGCCAACCTCCTGCTCGGAATTCTCCTTCAGAAGTCCTCTAGAGCTCAAAGCCCCATTAGTGACCCAATTCCCCTCCCACTGGCTACCTGATGCTTTTGTGAGCCCTACCTTTTACTCCTCCCCAGGATATCCCCTATTTGGTTAGTAATTTGTACCTTCCCTTTGAACCTCCTCCGTTTTGCAGGTGCTGTACTCCTGTTTCTTTTGTCTTTTGCTCTCAAATTCCCCAGAGTCAGAAACCCTCTTTTACACTATGCAAAAGACGCCCCCCTCCCCATCCTTGTCTCCTCAGAGCGCAGACTGACAGCCGAAAAGGCTGTAGGGACACAGAGTAGAGATTCATTCTGAATTAGGTGAAGTGTCTAGGAGAGGTGAAAAGTCTGTGAGGCCAAAGCTGAAGGAAAAACTGCAGGGCAGAGACAGTGAGGAGACACAGAAAAAAAAAAAGAAACGGCCTCGAGGTCAATTTGCCCCCCCCCCCCGCCGCGACCTAGGAATTCCTTTGATAAAGAAGAACTGGCGATAAATGTCACGCGGAATGAATATGTAGGAACCTATTGTGAAAGTGTATGCATATGCATTTGGAAGGCGGATAAAAGGAGACCTGAAATCCTCAGGGGTACGCATGCCCTTTTGAGGAGAATTTCCTCCGCATGTGTCCGGCACGCGTTGTAATAAAAACATACCGAGCTTTACAACTTTTATAAAGTTGTGAGGTTTCTTCTTTTCTCCGCAAAACAGTAGAGCAATGCTGCACCCCAGGTCTTTGTGCACCTGGGGTGTGACCCACTTCCCTCTGTTCCAGGCATCTCACCACGTGCAATGTGTACATGGAAACTCACGGTGTGAAAAGGAAGACCCTGCATAACAACAAAGTGGATGGGTGGGATAGAGCTTTACAACTGGCTATGGAAGATAAGAAAGAAAAAAGCCAGGATTGTACATGAGAAATGTCCTTTTTTCAAGTTAATGCTTATCAAACAGACAGATCGGTCAACTGCAAACAGTTACAGATCTCTGTAATAAAATATTAATAGTTCTTGTCTACTGCTTCCACAAGGTACTGCAGTAAAAAATGAATGCTGCTCACAGATTTCCACTTTTTCCTTTTACTACTGCTTGAAACTTATGTCTAAGCAAGCCAGTTTACTGTAGTATTTTTTTTCCTTTAAACCTTAGAGGATAATTAAAATTCCTTGCACAGGAAAATGGTAAAGAAGATTTGGGTATGCATTTCAAACGTAGCATACTAATGGCGTTTTTGGACTCTAATAAATCATCTCTCTGCTCTGCAAGAAGTAGAGTAAATGGACAAAATCTCTGAAATATACATTTCCATTTACAAGTCTCATATCTTCACTCTAACCTCATCTTTCCACATTTCTGGTACTTTGCTATTGTAAATACAGTATTAGCTTTTTTTAATACATTACACAACAATCCAATAATCTCATTAACTGCAAATACTGTAGGAATGCAAAAGCCTGTTGATGCCCATCAAACTATAGCAGCCTTTACCAGGGCTGGTTGTTAGCAATAAGAAGCCAAACATACATTGCTCGAGCTGATTTACTTTATCATTTGATTTTACAGTTTCTGTTCAGCACTGAACTGACAGAAGGGAAACATTTTTGCATTCCATGTGAGGACCACTGTGAGAAACGACTGCTCACTTTAAAAATTCAAAAGGTTTATTAAACCTTAACAAAAATACAATAAAATTACCAAATAAGCAAAAACAGGCCTGGAAGCTGCTCTCATAGCTGGCTACCACATGGCTAGCTCATCTTCAAGATGGATGCTTCACCTTTAACTCTTAGGGGGCTGCATCAACCAGCCCTGGCCCCTCCCAAAGTCTGTCAGTCAGCTCTTCTTTGCCATTTATCAGTGGAAATTGCTTTCTTGTAACTGGATTGGAGCTCAGGTGTTGCTGTGCTGCACCCCCTAAGCCCCAATCTTTTCCATTCCCAGCTGCCCCATGCAAGGGACACATGTGCAGCCTTCTTTTGCCTGTCTTATACAACCCTGCCTGTCTGATGGCAACAATACAGGGGGGAAAAGGGAACTATGGGGAGAACAGAGGACATCTAAACTACAGTACTGCACAGTACTATACACCAGTAAAGCTCCTCTTCATAGTCACACAATATTCGTTCCTTAATTGCGAGAGCCAATCATCTCATTATCCATCTATAAGACCACTTACCTCAACACACTGAAGCTTTGTTTTTGGACCTAACCTTTGGGTAATCTCATCTCTCCCAGGGGCTTCTGACATTCACATTTGTTCTGAGGAGCTGCAGTTTACCCTGCTGCGAACAGGAAGATCATGACTGGGTGTTTCTATTATCTGACAGTCTTTCAGTTTACTTTTCTTCTTCCTTCCACATAACATTAGCACAAACCACTGCTTGTGCTTTCCATCTCCCCTTCATTATTTCACCCTGTACCTGCTGAGACAACTACAAATTGTGCTTCCTGGTAGATAGAAATCCAGCTCTCCTAATTCAGCTTTGAGTTCAGGTAAATCCCAACCCTCTGTTCAACCCAGCAAGGGTCAAATGGCTCAGCCTACATTATGCCTTATAAACCCTGTCCTACTTTGCAAGACCTATTGTCTTGCACAATAGAAATTTCTTAACTTTTTTTTACTCTATGAAGTCCTTTTGGCTATAAAAGGATAGCAAACTAGTTTCTGTTCTACAGTTTTCACAACTGCTAGAAATGGAAAAGAGCATAAAAATTAAGGATTATGGAGTGTGGGTGCATTTATTTTCAGGAAATTGCATAGATATAACCGAACTTTCTTTTTCTAACAGACATTCTCCAAATCCCCTTTAAGTTTAATTTTCTGCTGTACCTCCCACATAAACATTCAATACTTGGTTTTAGCTCATGAAATCAATACATATCAGAAAATTGTTACCCTTTAAATGCAGACTTACACATTTTCTTTTTTCAGTAACTTCAGGCTAGAGCAGGTACTCCTCACATGGGTTGGTGTTTGGGGGCTTCACAAGGATGAAATCTTTACAATGGACTTCTGTTAGTCTTTACTATTGTTTCTGTGGCAGTGGAAAGGCTGCCACTTCAGGGCCAGCCTTCAGAAAACTAGAGCTTATTTGCAGCAGCAGGAGTTGAGCATGCCAGCTGACTCTTATTTTTGGTTTGTACGGAGGCTTCTTTTCAGCACCAGAAGCACCATCAGCATCACAGCAACCATCACAGCCCAAGGCAGGCACACACCTGATGGGGCTGGCATTAGTGCTAGCTCAGCTCCCTAAAGCTAGTGCCAAGAAGGCAACTGGAAGCTGTGAAGTTTAGTCAGAAATTTTGATAGAAGTAACCAGAAAGGTAGCTAAAAGCTGTTGAGGCTTTTCTTACACCAGGGACTCAGAAGTTGCACTTACAGAAAGCTTAGGAGTGAGGTCAGCAATTCAGGGAGCTGGAGAATTTGAGAATAAGCCAGTTGAGTTATTGTGATTGCAATGGTAACTCCATCTGAGGCTATGAGCACTCACTTCCTAGGCCATCCCAACTGTTCAGGATGCCTAGTCTGGAAGATCTTGTTTAGAAGTAGCTGTTAACTCTTTTGGAGAAGATCTCTACAGCAAAGTTTGTGATACAGTATTAACAAATATCACTCACATAAAAAAACCCAGAGAAATAAATACACAATACTGCACCTCTGGAGGCTTCCCCACTCCACTGCCTACAATGTTGCACATTCCAGGCTCCCCACAAGCTGTTTCAGGTGCAGCAAACCCCACACACCCCTTCTGCAACAACTCAGTGTTTATTTTTGACCCCAAAACAATGACATTACTCTTGAAGATATCTGTGGAGGGACAGTATGTAAGAAAATAGTGCAGAAGGTAATCTCACACCTGAGGAGTTGCAGCTGCACTAATCACCAAAGATTAGGAACAGGCCTGCCCTTACTAGGCCGCAGCTGTGTCCAATAAGAAGACAAATGCTACAAAAGAGTGGGTTAGCTGGGTGAAAAGAGAGGTGGAGTTTGTTGGCTGTGTTGTGAAGGAGGAGTCAGTGCTGTGAGGAGATGCACATGAGAAATCACCCAGAAGATATGGAAGATTTACAATAAGATGACAACAGATAGCCAGCTCTCCAGAAGCCCTTAAAAAATAGCCACACCACTAACAAACAAAAAAACCTCCAAACTTCCTAAATCACTCACAGTTGCTCCCATTTTTAACCCAGCCTTACTCATCATCTAGCTAGAGCACGTCTTGACAGGTATAATCCATTTAACTACGAAATATGGGGACATACTTCCAGTTTTTTCTCCTCACTGAAAGGCCTTCTCATTTAACTCTCTTCACAGCTTATCCTTCTGACAACATAACCATACAGCAGGAGCAGAAAAGACAGGAATCAATTAACATATGGGCAGAAATAACTTTTTAGAAACAAATTTTCATTTGTTCCAGAAATTTCACATGTTATCATTCAGCTACTGCTCAATATCCTGCTCACCTCCCCCTCCATGCCAGTGTGAGCAGCAGCTGGGGTACAGATGTCTGAGGTAATGCACACAGGGCTGCTTTGGAGCTGTCATTCCTGATTAAAATCTGCATGTGGATCTCACTCCTGCAAGGCTGGATCTCTCTCCAGGAATGCCACGAGTCCACATAAGACCTCTCCATAGAACAAAAAGAAATAAAATTAAATGCTGCAGCTCTTTTTGTTCATCTGGCTCAGCAATGAATATTTAAATATAAAATGTTTGTTATCACTTAACAGGTCAGCTCTCTGTTCCAAGCCAATGAGTTGGAATCCTGCAAAGCCAGGCATATGTTTGCAATTGTTGCCATTCAATAGTTTGCACTGTTATGAACAAGATTTAAGGGTTACACTCTGCATTTATTACCTATTTAAATTACTCTTCCAGTATGTGAGTATTAAATGCTACTAGAGGCGGATGAATGTCTGTACAAAACTACAATAGGAAAAGTAAGATTACAGTGAACATTGTTCTAACAAAATCTTTATGGGAAATAAGTACCACCCTGACTTCAGTGATGTTTCACTCTTCTCTGCCAATCCCTAAATTGGATGACATTGTTCCAAACTTGTTATGCTAGTATGCCAGTAAATAAAATTTTCCATCTCTAATATTGTCTCATTTGAATTTTGATTTTTAAGACCTAAATTTTGCACATGGAAGCATTCTTAAGAAAATCCTACAAATCGGTTCCTCTGATGTAACCAGCAACAGCAAAATAAAAACGCAACACCAAGCTACTTTTGATAACTTTTTTCCTGTAACAAGTGTCTTGCAAACCAGATGTTCTTCTGTGATTATTTTCAAGTCTTTCTTCCATCTTTGAAACTTAAAAAGAGATTCAACATCTTGAGCATGACTTCAAGTGCCATGTAGAATTATTGCCCTGGGGAATAAGGACTTTACCACTTAAATCTCAGGGTTTGGTTTTTTTTTTTTTAATCTGATGCAACAATGACCAGGACATGGCCATCTTTCTGTAAGCTACTTCTAAAGCTGAGTTTTTGGACAAGTCCCATCATTACGACACTGAAGCAGTGTTCAGTTCATTATGCACTTGAGAGCCTAGCATCATGAAAAACTTCTTGAGAAACTCTGAAGAAAAAATCCTTCTATTTTGATTTTAAAAGACACCATTGTCAGGTTCAATTGTCTCATAATTTCTTTTATACTTGGTAATTTAAAGTCACTGACATAACTGCAAACCAGTCTATAATTATCCCTTATAATTATCCCTTATAAGACAACTATAAATCTCTTCTTTTGCTTCTAGGAGGGAGACATGCAGCTGTAGCTGTGCACTTCCTCCCTAGCATGACACCACATTTCTTGTTGGACCTCTAGGGAATCGTTTGGCAGCAGAGGAATGGTCAGCCCATGGAGGACAAGTCCAGCTCTCCCTGCCAAGAGACACTGGAAGGACATTGTGCTGCCACGGTCAGCCCCACACACATGAGGAAGAAAAACAACCCAAAACAACAGTACTATCTGGGGTTCCCCTAAAGACAGAGGTCCAAAATGATGCACAACTAATTGTGCAAGGATGTGTGTACAAGGGGCCAGCATGCATAAGAGGATGACTGTCCCTTGCTACAAGCCCTGAGTACAGATGTCCTTCATAGGAATGGGGTGGAGGGGAAGAGCCCTCAGTCAAGCTCAACCCTCTGAGAATCCTTTAAACTGTGCCCCTGATCCCTCCTATGCACCTGAACTGCCCACCTGGATTTCCACAGCATCTCTCCACACCCTTCCTTGGCCTCATCCCAGCCAGGCTCCCCAGCTTTTGCAGGGCTGGCTGGCACAGGACTACCTTCTGTTTTTCAAAGCAATAATTCCCATAAAATGCAATGGCTCCCAGAGGTGTGGAGTGGGGTCAGGAGGAAGCAAACAAAAAACCAAAAACTTTCCAGCATGAGCAGCTGGCAAAAGACACCTTGAAAATCGGCCTCTCATAGTCAGTTCTCCTAAACTACTCTAAAAATAAAAAAAAAAAAAAAATAAAGCCAAAGAAAAGCAAAACAAAAGACAGGACAAAACCCCCCAACAAACAGTGAACAAATATTCTCACATTCAGCTTTGAATGGGACAGTCAGGCACTAAATGACAGTAATTGCCTTTCTCAGTAACTAATTGAAGTTGCTATTTTCCTCCTGACCCATGGATTCTTGCAGCATGAGCATTACTGTAAAAATCTCACACCATCCTGTAGTAGTCTGATCATTTCAAGCTCTTATTTCCCATAACGTGCTTCAGGCAGGGCCTACTGATAATCCCCTACTGAGGCAAATACCAGAGACATCCAAGGAAGCAGATCCCCACTAAGTTACTGGGGAAGCCAGGGCTCTCTCTGGTTTGGTGAGAGCCACTGGTAAATACTGCTAAATGCTTCTACTCTGGGTACCTCTGCTCCTGATCTCATGGTTGCTGTGGTCCCAGGAAATCTTCACACAACAGGGCTCACAGCCTGTGGCCCCAGCTGCAGCCCTGTCCCAGGATTTGAAGGAACACCCCAGATAAAAACTTGTGCACACACACTATCCTCAGGCCCTGGGTCCAGCACGTCCCTAAACACTGTAGTGCTCCCTCTCAGGTGCTGGGGAAAAAGATGTTTTGACGTAATTTCAGCCAGTCTTGCATGAAGGAAACAGTCTAGGAAATGGCAGAAATATTGATGTCAGTACCACCAGCCACAGAAAATGGGTACATAGGTATATACATATATACAGCCTTTCCAAAAGGAATTAAACAAATACTAAAAAAAAAAATCTTAACACACAAACAATTA